TTTGCCACTGCTCGTCTACCGCGTCAAGTATTGCCACTCCAGGAGGTGACACGTGTTTAAGTTCACGCCGCAGGTGATTCGTGAACTTTGTACCAATGAGCGTCTCGGATGCGTGCTCTTGAGTAAAATCGGCCAATCAGATTGTTGTTGTTGCTATTAGTTTCGTTATCGATTTACTGCACACCGATATCATCCAATCTCCAATGCGCTGCTATTGATTGGTTAGTTTCTCCGGTTTGGTTTATGCTTCATTTCACATTTGCTGTCTTAAGCTCACAGGTAAGTCATAGCATCAGCAGCTCGTTTACAAGGTGATTTGCTTATGTTATTATCAATATGCTCATAAATTGCGATCTCAGCAAGAACATCAGACTCCATTTACACCTGAAAAGGGCCCCAAGAAACTGCTTATGAATGCTATGCTAGGTTATTTTTTGTTTGGTTTCTAAGGTCATTTCTGACTGCCTGTTGCTATCGTTATAAGTTGAACTGCCTTGCCATCTGTATCTGTGTATACAGTTGGCTCTAATCAAGAGTCAACAATGCTTCTAGGCTACTTTGAAGTACTCTAGCATCTGTCTACTTCATCCTGTAATGATTTGTTTCTCTTATGTTTTTTAATAATCAGTACCTTTTAGTTGCAAGTGGCGCTGATTTCTACGTTTGGTACCTCTCACTCACGAAATTCGACACTGATTTTGGACTCCAATATACAAAGCTTTTTGCTGTTTTGGAGATGTATCGTTATTTTTTTTCAATAAAAAATGTGACTTCTTGCTACTGTGACGGATGAGAGCCACACTCAAGACCGCTTCATTGATACTGAAAGTGCTTCCTCGTCCAACACTTATCACAGGCATCCAAGACGGCTGATCGTCACATTTCTTCCCGATTTTTCGAATTCGATTTTCTTAATTTGAGTGTAACCATTTCATATCAATTTTTACTTTGGCTTCATCAAGTCACCCAAATTTGTTAAATGTTGTTGGTGCTTTCCTCTCTTTTGTTGCTTGCATAATGGTTTTTACTTCCTCAGCTCTGCCTCCTAGTAGTTGTCATTCCCTTTTTCGCTATTACTCCAAAGGTCTTCTGGGCACTGACTTACTACCAATCAACTTTCGTCAGCTGATTGAAATCTCCAAGCTTACAACTGTCCGATCGTGCGGAAGAAGAACTGATGGAATCCCTTATCAACAAAATTAGTAATTTGGATCTGGGAGACCCCTCAAAAGACGGTGAGATTAAGCCACCAAGTATCATGTCACAGGCACGTACCCTAATGACGCCCGTGGGGGAAGAGGTTAGCACCGATACTGCTGCCTCAAGCGACCACCTCGACGTCCAGTTGTCCTCTAGTGATAGTGATAATGTACAAAATGAAGACGTTGCCAGTGGGCAGGATTTGGGCGTAAGTTGTGAGCCACTACCCCCTGGCATCGTTTATTGTGGTGACTCCCCTTTGCCCGAACCAAGTTTCACCTCAACTCGCACTGTTGATCTCGTGGTAAGTCCATTTGCCTGCTAGTATGTCTACCCCCACTTTTCTCCTTGACTCCATTTCACTGTATCGGCTGCCTCATACAAACAGGTCGATGGAGGGGCTCGACCACACCTTTTCGACAATTGCATCACCGACGGTGAGTTGCCGGTGAAGAAGAAGAAGAAGCCAGCAAGCCGGCCGCTTAACATAGCTCGGTTTTACCCAATCCACGTAATGCCTTCTCTTTGCGCTAGCATCGACACCTAAGTCTTGCAAGATTTGGCTGTCATTTATGTCAAATGTTTAGAAACTCTCCTCTCTCTCGGCGCCTTATCAACAGCCAATCGAGGCGAATCGGCCGGTTCATCTTTACACCTGGCAAATGCCTTTGCCAGAACACGTCGCTTATCTCATCAAAGTGGATGCAGCCTACTTCCGACACACCGATCAGACGATTGGTCTCCTCTTCTCCAAGCCCATTTCTAAGGTTAGTCGTTATGTCTAATCGTGCTACTGCCCCATGTTGGATGGGGCGACTCTGAGGCAGAGGACTGGAGGCATGTCTGTCATGATTTGCGTATCGTTTTCGGTGCCTTCCTCGATCCCTTCTCCACTGTATCTACCAAAGGCCTTGGAGGAGATTAAGTTCGTCCTGAAGGTCAAACGATTGACGTTCATCGCAGTGCGTCTCGCATACCACAGGGTTCAATGAGTCCAGCAACTACGCCATTTTTACTAGCTGCATCATAGATAGTGATTTACTGACTAGTCTCCGTGGCTTTTCGACGTTTCGGCATAGGTTGACTTGGCCAAATGCAAAGACGTCCAGATAAAGCGCGCATCGTCTTGGTGCTACATCGCGATTTTCTTCCTGGACATGAATTTGGCGCGATGTCACGTATTTGCGCTGTACCCATATTCTTTCAAGATGGGCTGGAATCGAGCCTCAATATCTTGATGAAAGTCTACCCCCAGCATTGCAAACAATTTGTTCTCGCCTCGGCACTGTCCGTTATGCAGGAATGGGGTATTGGAGTATTTGCCACAAACCGGCGCAAACTCATTAGTCCTCCTGTTGGTTGATTCCCCAAATTTAGCCATGCACACCAGATGCGATTCTGCAGCGTTTATATGGCATCCAACTAACGGAAATGGAGGCATTGCTCTTCCACAGTGGAAGCGCCAACGCCGTTGCAAGGGCGGCACCTGAATCACTTGTTCCGACTTTGTGTAGTGTTTGAATCCGAAAGCAGCTTTATTACAAATGAGCGCTGGTGGTGGGGGCAGGTGGCAGGTGACATGAGCACAATTCCTCACTATCAGCGTGTAGGTCGAACGGCAGGAGACCTTTCCCTCTTCTACAGTCATGTATAAATAACTTTTCCCTGCTCTTCCCCTTTCATCAATGTCTGCCTGCTTGGATTCTGTTTAGTCTGACTTTGTGTGCCGTGTGCCGCTCTACATGCAATCGGGGATGATGCGAGTGCGTCTACGAAGGCGAGCCACGGTGACGTTGACAGAGGACCAAGTGGAATTGGCTCTCCGCACACACCAAATCCTCTCCCAACTCTCCGTGGACATCAACAAGCCCGTAAACTTCGACCTCAACTTCAGTAATAACCAGTTTTCATTTTTCTCGACCCCCTTCTCTACTGTCTCCTCCTTCTCTCCCACCCCTGTGGTCTCCTCCTGTGTCAGTACCTCCATCTCACCGTTTAACACGGACTTTGCTATCGACCCCTTCTCTGAACTCAAGGTGGATCCTCTGAATGCTCAGATCTGTGGCATACTTCTTATCGTCAGGCTCTCTGGTGGGTTGTTTTTATCTGTCTATGAGTTTATCAATTTGGTATTTTGCTTACATTTTTGTGTTAGCCCTTATTTCTTTTTGGCAATTTTTCGTTTGAATTCTGATTGCGTTCCCTGATTGTGTGCTAAAGAGAGTGTGGGATTTTTTTTAGGCTTAGGAGAGGCGGCACGACGTTCGTCTCTACTGTGT